AAGACAGGAAAGTGATTCCAGAAAACCAGGGGAGTCTTGCCTGGCCAACCTACTGGCCATCTATGATAGAGTGACTACATCAGTGGCCAAGGGAAGAGCTATGGCTGTCACCTTTCTGGACTTCTGTAAGGCCTTTGACAGCAATCCCATAACATCCTTCTCTTCAAATTGGAGAGATAAGGATTCAAGAGATGGACTATTTAGTTGATGAGGAATTGGTTGAATGGCCATATGCAGAGGTCAACAGCTCAATGTCCAGATGGAGGTCAGTAACAAAAGCTGTCCCTCAGGGACACTGTATGGGACCAATACCAATTCCTGTCTTCATAAGTGCCAACAGTGAGATTGACTGCACTCTCAGCAGGTTTGCTGACAACACCAAGATGAGCAGTGCAGCTGACATGACTGAGGGATGGGACAGCATCCAAAGGGACCTGGATGGACTTGAGAAATGGGAACCTCATGAGGTTCAACAAGGCCAAATGCAAGGTCCTGACCCTGGGTTGTGGCAAACCCCAGTACCAATCCAGGCTGGAGGATAAAGGGATTGAAAGCAACCCTAGACTCAGCAGAACTGATGGATGAAAAGCTGGACATGACCTGGCAATGTACACTCAAGAGACCAAAGAGCCAACCATATCCTGGGCTGCATCAGAAGCAGTGTGGCAATGCGGTAAAGGGAGGTGATTCTGCCCCTCTGCCCTGCTCTGGTGAGATTCCACCTGGAGAACCGCATCCAGCTCTGAAGACTTCAGTACAAGGCATGGACCTGCTGGAGCAAGTCCAGAGGAAGGCCACAAAAACAGTAAGAGGGATGGAAAACCTCTGCTATGAGGAAGCACTGAGGGAGTTGGGGCTGCTCAACCTGGAGAAGAGAAGGCTCCAGGGAAACCTTACATTGACCATTCAATACTTAGAGGGGGCTTGTAAGAAAGCTGGGGACAGGCTTTTTAGTAAGACCTGTTTTAGAGGCTAAGAAATCTTAGCAGCACAACCCATACAAAATCAACTAACCTTCCATGCAACCCCTCCAGCTCTGAAAGGTATTTTGCTAAGACAGATACATTGATACACATCATCCCACGCCTATTGTCCAACTTCTTGCACATAAAGGCACCATTAGGAATTCATCAGTCACTCCAGTCACACACCTCTGCCATTCCAACCAGAGCAAGTCTCTCCATGACCCACCTGTACTGTGTGCATGTTATTGGTGCTCTGGAGAAACTCGCCTTCCTCCCCAGCTCTGACGTCACCACAGTCCTCCAGCAAGCGCACCCGCATGCCACGAACCAGGTTTGCCCGCAAGTACTCCACATAGTCACTGCTGTCTGCGAAGTCTGATGCAGTCAGGAAGGTACAGCCCTGCTTTTTGTGAGGACCAGGATTTGAAGGCAACACAGGCTTTTGGACACCAGTGCTGGACGGGGTCTTATGCTGGAAGATGGAGCGGGCAGGGCGAGGCTGCAGGTTCCCTTGGGGCAGCGGCTTTGCCTTGTGGCTGAGGCTCCAGCCCATCACGTGCACCAGCTCCGAGATGAGGTTTGCCATGGCCATGCTGAACTCAAACTCCTGCTTCACACGGCTCCTCTCCTCAGGGACAGGGCTGGGCACAGCACAGCCCTGCTGCTCCTCTCCCTGCTCCACGCCACTGCTCAGCTTGTCCAGGAGACAAGTCACACACAGGTAGCGCTTCACCAGGATGAACAGCTGCTTCCCGGGGACCTGCAACAAACACAGCTCTCACACTCAGCCTGCAGAGGTCCTCCAGCCCCCAGCTCTCTCTGAGCCACCAGCTCATTCCCAGGCAGGCTCCTGTGAGAGCTCCAGACCAGCTGGCAGCAGCACAGACCTCCCAGCCCAGTCTCCCCTCCCTGCTGGCAGACCAGGCTCTCCAGGTGCCTCTGCACCACCCCCAGCCTCTCACAAGGCCAAGGTCCTGAGCCAACTCTCCCAACAGCCAGTCCTGCTCACCTGCCCACCTTCAACTCCCCTCTTGTCCTGGACAAGGGTGCCAGCCCTGGTCCCCTACTCCCACCCCTGCTGGCCCCTCCTGCTCCACAGGCCAGGGCTGGTGGTGGGTCTGTCACTACCTGCGGGAGGTGAATCCCTTCAAAGGACATGCAGTGCTCTGCAGAGGACGTGATCTCAGCAAACAGCTCCAGCAAGGTGCAGCGACTGTCAAAGTCCATGTGCTGCTCGATGCCATCCTGCTGGCTCAGGGACAGCAGGACGTAGGCCCAGCTTTCTGCAACAACAACAAAAACTCTTCAGGCCCCAGAAAGAAAATCCTCACCCCACTCTCCCTGCAAGAGACAGAGCTCTTCTGTCCCTTCCTCTGGAGTAGCAACATTTTGCTCCGTGGGGTATTTTTTCTACCCCTAAGCTAAGATTCTCACAAAGCGGCAACCCCAGATAACTGACTCCAGTACAGGGTCCCAGGGAAGCCAAGTTTTAATCTGAATCAGGCCTCATCTGCCCCACTTCAGAGCTACAAGAACTCAGGCACTAGGACAGGGAAAAACAGACCTCCTGTGGGATCCCCCACAACCAGCAAACTTCCAGGTGCACCCATGTCTCATTAAGCACTTCCAAGCCATGGCAGCGCCTCTTAAATGAGAGAACTGGGTGAGAACTAGCCTCTATCCAGGGCCTGAGGAAAGGCTCCCTGCCAAGAATAGACCAGAGACTTTGCAACTGACAGCTCAGAGCAGTCCCCTCCTTGGCCTAAGTCCTCTTAACAGTTAATCAGCATCCCAGCTCAGAAACCTGGCAGGGGAAAGAGCTTCTAACTCCAAGAGCAGTCCAGACAACTGCAACCAAGGAAGTCTGGAAGACCCAGACTGATTCTTCTCCTCTTGCCAAGAAGCCTCATAACATGCTGCTTCCCAGCATGTCCCATCACCCCTCCCAAAGGCCTGGCACCAGCAACACCTCCTCAGTGATACTGAGCAGGAGCAGCCCCCACCTGCATCGTGTGCACCCAGAGCACGCAGCATCTGGTCTGCACTGCGGCGGATCTGCTTCTCCTTGTGGCACAGCATCGTCGTCAGCAGGTTGAGGGCTCCCGTCTCTCTGAAAGCACCCGCCAGGGAGCCAATGCTGGCATAGGCGCCCAGCACGTGCACTGTGCTCAGGATAGAGCACTCGGGTGTCCCGGCCTCAGCCACCTGGCGCCTGGCTCGCTGCACCAGGCTCCTGACATCGGCCTTCATCTCCAGCAGTGAGGCTTCGTCCAGCGAGGCTTTGTCTGACGGAACGGGCACCGGCACCTTCTCCTCTTTCAGCCACGGCCCTTTCAGCCTCCTCTGGTCCAGCAGCATCGGGCAGCTGGCACACACCTCCTCTGCAGACATCCACATGGAGATGTTCTCTGTCTTGGTCTCTACAGAGGAGGCACTGCTGCCTCCCGCTGCTCTCTCTTCCGAGCTAATGACGCTCCACCGGACCAAGTATTCTGGCCGGCCGGCATGGCCTTGCCGCTGCCGGAGCAGCTCCTTTGGGTAGGCCTGCAGTTTGGGCCCCAGCTGCACAAGCACAGTGCCATTGTGCTTCTCATTCACCATGGCAGCAGATGTGTCTGCAGAGACAGAGGGGAAGCAGAGCCAAGCTTTTATTTCTGAGCTGCATGCTGGGGAAAGTGTGAGCCAGCACTAACAGCAGAAGTGGTCGAGGCACAGCTTTTGATCCTGAGATCCTTCACCCAGGATAAAGCTTTGAAGGAAAACGCACTTTGCAGAGGCTCACATTTCCCTTCCAAAAAAATAAGACAGTTTTTCATAAACAAAACCGGTTTCAAGCATTGTTGGCATGCACAGTAAGAGATTCTCCTCAAAAAAGAAACTAACACAAAACATAAAGGCAAAACAGACCCTTTTATAAGGCAGCAAATAACGACAAGAGATTTTAGTCCTGTTCACATCCCTGCCACTATCCACAACATGACCCCCACAAGTTGCTGCTTTTGCACTTCTGCCCTCTCTCTTGCTATTTACCATTTATAATTGTTTAGACTATGAGTTTACCTAGAGCTCACAGTACTCTCACCGTGCATAGGGACCTTCATATCACCAGGCCCTGAAGTAAATGAGCAGTTTCTCAGATCTAGTTCATACACATCAGATCAGATTCACTACCTGAAAGTCTCTCCGTATTTCCTCCAAGGCCTCTTCTCAGAATTCTTTGCCTTTACAATGTTTCGTCAATGGACAAATTCCACAGAACTAAAAGATTTCTAATCTCTGTTGCCTGACTGTTCTACATCTCAGAACTACAAAGAAGACACAGAGCTTTTCTGCTTTCATCCATACAGCAGCATGGAAATAATTTGCTGTCTAAGACTGAGTGCCAGCAATCAGCAAGCCAGTTGCAAACAAACCAGGGATTGAGTTCACAAAGGATTCCATATGAGGCTGATAGGAAGGATCTCAGAGGAACTCATTCAGGTGGCAGCGGGAAACGATCCTACCACATACACACACTGCAAGAGAACCAGTAAAGCAAGATACCAGAGAAACTGTTTTGGTTAAACATGGTTTCGAACAGAAACTACTGCCTTCCTTGGAATTTGAAGCATACCAGATGGGAATCTTCTTGCAGTCTCTGTAATAAAAAGACCAAGTTATTCTCCCGTGCTTTGTAACAGTATTCAGATGCCACACCACAAGCCAAAGAATTGTTTTCCTTAAATGAGCTTGCACAGTTGCACGCACACGCGCACACGCGCACACGCACGCACACGCGCACACACACACATACACACAGAGGACAGCTCGCACCGACGTGCCTCGGTCCTGGCGCCGCGGAACACACGGGCTTTCCTCCGGGCCGTCCTGGACACCCCGGCGAGCCGCGCCCCTATGCCGGACCCTCACAGAGCTCCCGCCGCCCCCGGAGCCACGGCGAGCCGGGCAGGGTAAGGCCAAGGCCAAGCCCAAACCCGGTACACGGAGAGCCAATAAATCCCCGAGGCGGGAAGAAGAAAGTGGCCCTTGAGGCGCCGGTCTGACCCTGCCCACGCCTCCAGAGCTGCAACGGGCGGAGACGCAGAGCGGCCCCGCCGCCACCTGGAAGCGGCGGAAGCAGCACGCCACTTCCGTACCCGCTACGGAAGGCGGCGAGGGACAGAAGAGTTGCGGGAGCTGCGCGTTCCACGCCCGCGCGCTGCCGTGTCCCTGCCGTGTCCCCGCCGTCCCTCAGAATCCCAGGATGGGTCAGGTTGGAAAGAGGCCACCGTGGGTCATCTGGTCCAGCCTCCCCGGTAAGGCAGGGTCATCGCAGAGCACATAGCACAAGATGGTGTCCAAATGGCTCTTGAATGTCCCCAGCGACGGACACTCTCCAACTTCTCTGGGCAATGTGTTCTAGTGCTCGGGCACTGCACAGGGAAAAAGTTCTTCCTCATGTTCAGGTGGAGCTTCCTGAGCCTCAATTCCTGCCTATGTCCTCTTATGCCATTACCCGGTCCATGCTCTGACCCCTCCCTGCAGACAGTGACAGACATTGATGAGGTTCCCTCTCAGTGTCTCTTCTCCAGGCTGAACAGGCCCACCTCCCTCAGCCTTTCCTCAGAACTGAGGTGTTTCAATCCTTTCATCATCTTTGTCACCCTCTGCTGGACCCTCTCCAGGAGCTCCTTGTCTCTCTTGCCCTGAGGATCCCTGAATTGGACACAGCACTCCAGACTGGCCTCACCAGGGCTGAGCAGAGGGGCAGGATCACCTCCCTGACCTGCTGGCAATGCTCTTCCTAATGCAGCCCAGAATTCCATTGGGAATGTGCCACAAGAGCACTGCTGCCTGCCCCACAGGGTCCCTCAGGCCAGCTCGTAGCTCCCAAAGGGGTTTCAGGCCTGAGCTGGCACAGAGTGCAGGGGCCATGGGTCACAAACCTGCTGTTCCTCCACACCAACTGCACACAAGGAACGGTGGTGAGCAGTGGAAAAATACGAAAGATTGGACTATCTTCTGATTCCCCTGGCTAATGTTAGAAATGAGAACAAATGGAAGTTGCAAGCTGAAGAAGGCATCGACTAGAGCGAGCTGCTTTTTGGTGACGTGGTAATGTTGTGCTGCGTGCTGGTATCATTCCTCTGGTGATTGTCTTCATTAAGGGCTGTAGCAGGATGGGTGGCAAGAAAGCTAAAAGCATGTCATGTCAGCACTAACATTATTAGTGCAAACGCACCAATAATCAAGAATTACAGTGCAACACTGTCAGGCCCATGGTCCTGGGGTGATTCCAGCCCTGCACCCACCCTCCATCCGCCCTGTTGGCTTCAGTGACAGCTGCGGTGGCACCTGGCAGGTTTGGGGCTCTGAGACTGCCTCAGTGTTGCTGGAGAACCAGTTGAAGCCAGCTGCACACAAGTTTGGCCTGTTTCCAGCTCCCTTCCAGCTTTGGTGTCACACTGATCTGAAATGCCCGTACAATAAAATCTAAATTCTTATCCTTTGCCCATACTTTCCTTCCTTGGGGTGCAGGTTTCTATTAGTCTGGTAAGATTTGTTTTAAATTATAAACAAACATTAAAATCATCAGCTAACTGGATGAGACTTTGCTTTTTTATTTGATCCTGGAGCAACTTGTATGTGCCCAACCTAATTTCTATCCTCAGTACTAATGCAATGGATTAGAAAATTTCCATGTTTTACAATAGCAATCAGCAATTAATCCAAACAATATAATTGCAATTAATTATAGGCTGGATAAAACAGTGCTATGCTGCATCAGTTCGTGGAGACCATCCTCTAAACCTGTGGCACCAATGGTAGATTGTAAATGTTTGTGTTTCCAAGCCACACTCTTTATTTCTCCATTAGTATATGTGATCTCTCTTGATGGCATTGATATTCTCTTTCCAGAATCCCATGGATGCTCTTAAAATCTCTGTTCTCAATTAATATGTTGTTTTCCTTCTCCATTCACCACCAAGACATCTTGTTTGTGACAAGGAGAGGTTTTCTGTGGTATTCACATGGGCTGCTTATGTCTTTGCTCTGATGGTCTCCACACCACACTTAGTAGGTCATTTATCCTAAAAATAAAGATTTTACCTGTGGTATCTTCCTCTATGGTACATAAGTGACACACAGCCCCTGTGCACAGGTGACATGGGATTGCTTGTGCTGAAAGGGCGCTTGTGGTGTTGAACCATAAGCCACACCTGTGTAAGCATGGGGCTAAAAGCGAGGTTTACAGTCAGAGGCACCTCATCTCCCAATGGGGAAAGAGCCATTTCGGCTGTCTTTTGCTCCTAAGTACTTTCTGTACAATCCTTTCCCCTCCTGAGGTATTTTCTCCAAACTGCACACTTTTATCAGTGCTAAGCTTTCCTCACACTATACTGGCGTCTGCTCCAGGGTCTGATGCTATGGAGCAGCCAGCAGTTGCATTTTTAGCTGGCATACTCTGGCCCCAGCAGCCCTGATGATTGCAAAAACCCCCTCTTCCTTTGGTTTTAGTCACACCTTTGGACATTTTACTGAGCTTCCATGTGTCCTTGATCTGGCTTCTAGGTCTCTGCCTGACTTTAAGTAAGATCTCTCCAGACTGGGTTTTGAATATTGCTGTATCTTCTCATAGCAATTTTCTGGGAATTTAAAGTCTCCCTGCTCCTCCCTATTAACGCACATGAATTAGAACAATTCTTTTTCAAAATTCCCCATTCCTCCTCATTGCTGTTTTTTGCTTCTCTTGACTGACACCATGCCCTGCTCACCAGGGACATCACTCCAGAGCTTTCAGGAAAGAGAGCCCTCACAGCTCTTTTGTCAGACACTGGCCCTCTCTGGCCCACACATTAGGCTGAGACTCCCGAGGACAAGTCTAGGTGGTTAGGAATAACCTGTGCAGGAGGCAGTAGGGATGGAGACTTTTGCAAAGAGCACCTCTTTGCTATGTCGTGCTCTGATAGGTCCCCATCCTCCTCAGTACACAAGCAGGTGCAGGAATCTGCCTCAATCCCCATTTATTAGCCCTAAGGTGTGCATCATCCTCTCCTGCAAAGCACAGTCAAGATCCCAAATCTGTGCACAAAATGATAACATTTATTGAAAGAGTAAATTTTTTTTAATACAAAAGAAAGCTCTGTACATAGTACTGTGATTACTTCCACATCCTTCCAGAAACACAACCCTGGAAACTGGAGGGAAAAAAAAAAAATAATCCCACACACACTTATGCGTACACACACACACACACGCGCGCGCACACACACCCCTCAAACCAGTAAAATGAACTAAAAATGTCACCACACAATAAATGCCATTTCATCCCTGATACACAAGTGTTCTTACAGGTCTGCACTTAAATAAAATAGACCATTAGCGTTTAACCAGCAGTTGCCTTTGGGGAGCCGGGGAGGGGATGCAGTCAGACATCCTGTAGCAGCACGGGCTCTCCTGCTGTTCTGGCCCAACAGCTCTGCTCCATAGTGCCAGCAGAAGCAAAGCAGAGCAAAGCCAGGCCACAGTGATGTGCTAGGGCAAAGGACAATGCAAACTCTAACCCACACTTCTCCCTGGATGAATTCCGAGGTACCTACATGGTTTTGGAAGCACCACTGAGCAGTTTTCCTACACCAAGCCATGGGACATGTCTCAGCGCTCCTACATGCACTGAGCTGCAGGGATTGCATCACTCTCAGAGCAAGAATTCTAAGGAGATGTAGCATGTAATGTCACCTTCACCTTCAGATGGGCCACTTCATTCCCCACAAGCCCTTCCCAGGCTGCCAACCGATCAAGGGCTTAAAGGCCCTTCTGGGAATTCTTTGCACAGGGAGCTTGGTGGAGACCTGTCCCCATCTGTGCGTTGCAGAACGGCTGTAGAGGGGGAACTACAGCCCAGATCATTGGCCAGGAGTTCAGGAGATGCTGCCTGCACAGCAAGCACGGAGAACAGGGACTAGCCACTGCTGGTCACTCACCACAGGGAGGAGGTCCCTGGACCAGAAGTGACCAGGGTGGTCATCAGAAAACCCAGCCCACCTCTGGCTCCTGGGTACATTGCAAACTGCCTGCTTCTGAGGAATGGGTTTACCACTTCCAGAGACGAGCCACTCCTTCACTTGCCTTCTGCCCATTAAGCCCAAAATTATGGGTATGAAGTCCTCGTTACAGGTGTAGGAAACAAGCATCCCACTCGGTTCAGCTTGATCCCTGGCACATGCTGGTGGATGGAGAGTGCAGCTTAAACGCTAATGCTGAGGGAACATGTCCAAGGTTACAATAAAAACTCAAAAGCAAGGCCCCTTTCCTGCCTCCATGCCCGCCCACCCACCCCTCTCCCATCCCCCTGGTACAAACCCCATTAAAACTGTACAGGAGCCAAACTTTTATTCCTTAAAGAATTACATAAATACTGAGTTTAACACTTAGAAAAATAAAGTAATTTTCTTTTTTTTCTTTTTTTTTTTCTTTTTCTCCAAGGCTTCTTTTGTCTTTAACTTAAAAAAAAAAAAAAGTTACTGCTTCTTCCCCTAAGGATTCAGCAGCTTCTCTCACTTGCTCACTCTCCCTCCAGGGACAGGGCTAGGTAGCAGAGCCATTCACAGCAACTCCCATGCAGGACCAAGCACACTCCAGCCCTTCTCCCCCAGCCTTGCTGAGCCTGTACAGGCATCACAGCTGCTCCCCCACAGCCCAGGATGACCTGCCGGTCACCCTGGTGCTCAGATGAAGAGCCTGCCACCTGCCCAACAGCTCTGTGCCCCATGGGCTCTTCCCTTTGACATTTGAGTTGTTTCTCCACCTTGCATCAGACACAGAAATTTAGAAAGCGCTGGCTGGAGCTGCAAGGGGATGTAGGAAAGACCCAGCCATGTTCCCCTGGGTGTATGGAGTCCAGAAGCAGTGCGAGGGCTGAGAGTGTGGGGCTGGGCAGAGCACAGGGCCCCTGAGGAGCTCTCTAGGGCATCTTTGTGTTCCTGGGCATCTCTCGACCACCTGATCTGTGCAAGGGCAGCTGCTGGGGCAGGGCCAGTCAGGCTGAAAATCTGCCAGGCAGCCCAGCAAGGAGGCACTGAGGGCAGAGGGCTCACTGTAGTGCATACAAGGAGGACAGGGTGATGTGCCACCGGCTGTGCCCTGCCCTCAGGAGAGAGGGCATGCAGGCCCAGAGACGCACATGCAAGCTGGCCCCTCTTTCCTGTCTGGAGCCCAGGGTGAGTTGCTGCGGCCAGGACATGTCACCCTCACAAAGGCACATTGCTGAGGCCAGCAGCACAGCCACAACCCATTCTGCTCCAAGCTGCACTTGCACAATGGCTCTGGGTCTAAGCTGGGCCCCACACAGAGTAAATACTCATGGGCAAGGTGACTCAGAGCATCCAGAAGGAGCCAGAGCCTCCAGCTGGGAATGGCCTGCAGTATTTATTTACAGTGCAGAGCAATCCTCCCCTCAAGAGACAAATTTCTTTGGCTGGCGTGAGACAAGCACAGCTATTGCAGCATCCAAATGCCCCAAGCCCTGCATGGCCCCAGCACGGCTCCACCCCGGGTGGGTCCTGCAGCCCCACACGCATGCCTGTGTGTGTGGGGGTGGGTGAGTGCATGTGTGTGTGTGCATGTGTGGATGAAGGAAACGTGAAAAGGCAACAATAAATAACTGGTGCAGTCTGTACGAGGAGTTGCTGCCAGCCCCGACACTGGCAGGACAAGCCAGAAACAGAAGGCCAGCAGCAGAGGCCTCTCAGTCACTCTTGACGCTGTGTGAGGTGTCCAAGTTGACCACCTGCAGCTCAGTCAGGCTGCTGCCACTGCTGCTCTGCTGCCCAATGACAGCCATCTAGAGAGAGAAGGGAGGAGGAACAACTGAGGGACAGCACGCCCTGAGACCATGTATGCCAGCAGCCGGGGAGGCACTGTCCTTCCTGAGCATTGGTCCAAGGAGGACAAGACTCCCTCACCCAAGGGTGGGTAGCACAGACACAGTCCCAGACCTGAGGACTGATCCTGCGCAGCCAGGTCTGCCCAGACATATGTGCAGGCAGAAGAAGAGCAAGAATAACCCCTGGACACTTGCAAGTGCTACTCTGTGCCTACCTGGTGAAGCTGAACAGCTGAGACTGGGATCTGAACCGTGCCTGATGGGGCTGTCAGGAAGACTTGGGGGACACCACCTGCCACAGAGAAAAGCACAAATAACACTGTCCCTTAAGCAGTGCTCCCCCATGGATTCTTTCTCTGAGCTCCGTGGAGCTACTCAGGACAAAGCTGCCTATTTGCACACATGGAGACATTCCAGAAGAAAGCCACATGCACTAGTTTTCCAAATGCTGGGAGAAGCAGGCACAAGGCCTCAATCCTTGCCTGCGTGGCTTCATGCTACTTTGCTCCCTCATGCAAGCACATATCCTCTCCAGAGCCTCCTGGCTCCCTGTGCTGCCTGCCCCACATGCTGCCCATCCCAGAAACCCTCACCCTCCTTTTCACCCATCAACAGCTCATGCAGTCCTCTGCACAAGAGAATGGCAAGACCTAAAAACACACAATGAGCATCGCCCTTTGCCAGGCCTTTGCACAGCCACCAGGACTGCTGAGAAGAAAACCCTTTGTGATTAACGTATAGCATAAATACATGTGGGACAAGGAAAACAGGGTGTCAGTGCACTCTCAGGGAGCACTGACCTAGAGAGCTGCCTTACCCTGATCCTGGACCTGGCTGTGGGACACCTGCATTGCTGAGGGCGCCTGTGGGAAAGCGTTGAGCACCGCGAGCCCGCCGTCAGCCAGGCCAGAGGTGGGCGCGTACATCACCGCATGTGGGCTGGGATACATCATGTGGCCGCCCACGGTGGTTGGCACGGATGACGTCATGATGGTCGCTGGGAGGGTCACTGCCACCAGGACAGACCACACGTGAGCACACAAAAAGAACCTGCCACGCTCACCTGCCAGCTCAGCATCCCCACTCCAGCCACCCCAGGCATGCTGTGCTGAAGCACGGTGCATGGAGATACCTCATCTTTGTCTTCCAAGCGCTCGGGCAAAAGCCCCAGAGATCAAGCAGGAAAGCTCAAACCTCTTCTTCCACGAGTATGAAGGGGCAGGAAAACACGGTAGCCAAACATCCCAGGACTAAATTTAACTTGCATCTCAATTCCCGAATGAAACTTTAATAGAGCTGTTGAACTAGATTCAGCCTGCATCCAGGCACCTGAACTCACATTTTGCTGATAAAGATGTCTTCTGCATAGACAGGAAAAGTCTCAAGCAGATGTGAGCCAATGCCTTGTGCTAGAGGCAATGCTGGCTCACTAAGAAACCCCCTGAGTCCTGAGCAACCTGTTCCCAGCTCCATGCTGCAATTGAGAGCAGATAATGTATCAGGAGAGGCTCCGAAATCCATTGTAAGGTGCCCTGTGCCCAGCGTAGGATACACTGTAGCACAGGACCTGGCAACAGGGATCACCTGGGAAGCTGTCAGAAAGCCTTGGATAGAGTTGGCCTGAAGAAGGAATCTGGCCAGAGAGTAGGCATGGGGCCTAGTGGTGTGGCTTGTTTTCAGAGGTGGTTAGTAAGGATGACAGAAGGTGGTTACCAATACCTGTTCCGCTGGAAGAGGTCTGGGTAAGGTCAGTGCTGCTGTCACTAGAGGGAGACGTTTGCTGCGGTGCCTGGTGCACCTGGATTGCCTGGACTGGAACCTGCTGAGCCATGGTACCACCTGGGGAGAGAGAGGAGCCCGTGAGCCTGTGGCTCCACAGGGATACAGGCACTCTGGGCCATGCGAAAGTCCTTCTCTGGCTGCACACAGCTCCACAGCACCACTCTGTGCTGCACTGGGGGAGGCTATACAGAAGCAGTGTGTGGCAGAAAACAGAGACCAAAACCTGCTCTTTCCTGGCACATGGGCCAAGAATGGGTTAACTAGAGTGAAAAAAAAGGCCACAACAGCTTTTGCCCAACTACCAGCCGTTGTTCAGGAACATCCAGGATCCTCCTTGCCATTCCTGGTTCCACCAAGACACAGAACAGATGTTGTGAGGAGAGGGCCCAGCCTTTCCTTCTTAGTGAGGAGCCAGCTCTGCAAGGATTACCTTGCTGCACCGAGTGGAACCACAAGAGCCCAAATGCCCACACCAGCTGGGTTCTGCTGCCTTCACACTCTGTAGCCCATCCTCCTCCATCCTCCACAGGGCATTCAGAGTGCAGCTCTCACCCTGCTTGTGAACTTAAGGACATTACAGTGCCCTACAGAGGGATTAGAGAACACCTGGTCTCAAAGTGTGCATCCCAGAGCTGCAGGCCACACAGTCTCTGTCCCAGACCACTCCCTGCAAAGCACTTCAGATCCAGAAGAAACACAGCTTGGCACAGAAGACCTTGGCACAGGTCTCCTAAGGCTGTGGTCCTGCCTCCGGATGGAAGAGCAAGGGATGCCAGAGAGTAAGAATCACTGGCCAGCTTGCTCAGACTGGGAATTTCCCCACACATCACACCCCAGAGACACACATCAGTTATTCTCCTATCTCCTCCAAATCACAAGGAAAACACAGTTCCCTTAAATGGGACCCTGCTGTCTGCCCAGGCCCCCAGGAGCCTTAAGCATTACAAAAAAGCACAGAAGTTATCAATCATAAACTTAGGCACAAACAGGCAGGACACAAGAAATACTTTGTCACTCAGTGCTGGTCCTCAGATGATGGATGCCACTGCAAAGGAGAGCTCAGCCCTACTCTGAAACTCCATCCAGGAACATGTCCAGCCCAAGAACAAGCACCTGGAGAGCCTTCACTCAGAACAAGAAGACATTCCTACAAAGGATAGTGCACACAAGGCAGTAAAGCAGCACCATTACTCTGCTCTGGGTCTCCCCTAACCTATCCTCTGCACTGTGGTTCAGTGGCTAGCTGCAGATACAAACACAGAAGCAAGGGCAGCTGCTCAGAGCCAAATGCCAGCACTCAAACAACCACTGGGCTCCTGAGCCCCTGCACTATCCCTCCATCAGTTCTAGCAGTATAGTTCATCCTCAGCACAGCTGCACTATGGACCTGTCTCTGCTGCATTTGTTAGCCACAGGTCAAGCCCTGGGGCATGAGACTGAAAATCCTCTGCTTCCCTTGGCCTGCATCCCCCAGGATGCTGCTCCTGCCTATCTTCCCATCTCACCCCAGCAGCCACAGCCAGGGTTCCCTATGCTCTGCCTCCTCTGTACTCCCACAGCGAGGGGTCAGCTTTGTGGCCAGGCCAGAGGAGACAGACACCTCCATTCCCCTATCTCCAGCAAGAGGAGGAGAAGCGAGTGCTGACCTGTCAGCAACACCATCTGCCCTCCAGCTCTGGCAGGGAAGTGGAAGACTGTATGCTGTGCCTGTTGCAGCTGTCCAGCTGTACCTGTGATCAGCTGGCCCTGCTGGCTGGAAAGAGCCAAGGAATGTGGCTGTGAGTGCGTGAGAGGAATGGGAGGGGTCCCCGGTGAAAGGGAAGCACCTGCCGAAAGGAGGGAGAAAGGCAGGCTTTGTCATTACAAGCTCTTTTCACTCCCTCCAGGCTTCTTGGTGCTGACCTGGGGTTCCAGCTCAGCTCCCTGCCACCTCCCAGCAGCAGAGCCATCTGGTAGCACTCTAAAGAAACAGTCACTACATAAACCTTCTCCAGCCACTGGCCTGGCTGGGTTTGAGCATGGCATCACAGCCCGGCTCACCTTACAGCAGCAACCACTCTGCTTCCCTTCTGCCATTAGGTCTCCTCTCCCCTGGAGAGAACAGCAACACACTCCAGGTGCAGAGATGGACAGATGCAGTCCTCAGTCCCAAAAGGCACTGACCTGACATGAGCGTGAAGCCAGTGGGTATCGGCATGAGGCCCCCAGACGTCACTGCACTGGCTCCAGTAGTTTTCAGCACTGTCCCGTTGGCACTGGTGACGGCATTGGGGCTGATGCTGGCAGACACTGGCGCCAGGTAATTAGTGATGGGGAATGACGGGCCACTGCTGACCTGCATAGAGGTCGAGGTGGTTGGGGCTGTCTGGATGGAGGTTGTTCCCGGCAGGTTGGTGACAGTGAACGCAGGTTTCAGGGCGTCCTGTAAAAGGAGACATTGTGATAGCTCGGACCAGTCCATGAGACATCTGCCCATGAGACCAAACCAGGCTCTGTAGGTTGCATCCTCTTGCCAAACCATACCTCTCACAGCCTGCTGCCAGCACGTGGAGCAGAGCCAGGGGAGCAGGGGAGAGCTGCTTGCACAAACATGAGGAGAGAGCTCCACGTAAACTTTGGATGCAGGCCCAGGGCCACAGAAGTCCCCTGAGAGCCTTCCCTACAACACACCACGGGACAAAGCAACTGTCCCATTCTCCAGGAGTCCCTAGCATGTCTAAGAAGAGAATAGCCTCTTTTTGGCACACACCAGGCAAGAGCAGCCCTTGCAGGGACAGACATAAAGGCATAGAGTCTCCTGTCAGGAACACACACTACTTCCCTTAAGGCAGGAAACATACGACCAAGAACAAGCTGAGAACTGGCTCTTAAAGGCAGCTGTACACTGGAAGTGACAGGGGAGAGGTGACTAAAGACAAACCTAGACATTAGGGAGGCCCAAACCCAGCCCTGACAGCAGCTTTGGCAGGCTCTGGGGAATGCCTCCATACATCTCCTGAAGCAGAGGCCAGGAGAACCTGACTGTAGAAAGCACGTATTTGCCAATCCACTCGCAAGAGATGGGCATGAGGCAAATGCTTCCAAAGGACCCCATGTGTTCACTACAGCCAGCATGGTCCTGCAAGGAGCATCACCAGAGGAGCTGAGCACCAGGAAAAGGGCTCTGTGCTGGGTCAACACTGGCCTGAGAGGCATCCCAGGTTTGGGAACAAGGGAGGAATGTCTGTACCAAGCTGCAGTAACACATTAGTTTCCACAGCCACAAAGCATGTGGCTGGATGCGCCTTGGATCTCCAGAAATCAACCAAGCCCAGCATGATTCCTGCTGCCTCCATCCCCCAAATCCCCTTTGGAATACCCAGGGGGCCCATGACTCCTCTCCTGCCCTCCTAATCTGGCCAAGAGCACTCTGAGAATGCACTGCTTCACAGGAGCCTATGTCACAGACCACAAGTGACTTGCTGTCCCCATGGCCTGACACAGCTGCCAGCACGCCTGGGAAGAGTTAAGGCTGCCACACTCCCACCCCTCCCACTGCAGCTGGTGGGCCCAGATCTCCCACGTGCTAAGCCTTGTTCCCAGCTTGTCAAGCTGCCAGAAGCAAGGAATTCACAGCTCAACGAACAGCTAAAAAAGGGAAGGCAGCCCATTTTGGACAGGGGGATCCAATCCCAGGCACTCAGTTGTGCCCCAGGGCCCAGGGAGGGAGGAGAGCAACACCCTTCTGCCTTGGCACTGCAGTCCCTGGAGTCCAAATTAGCAGAGGCACGTGGTAACAGAGTAAAGCCCAGCAGAGTCACTTTCCATTAGCTCAACGACAAACTCCTGCCATCCCACATGGGACATGGGAGGCTGTGGGTGCTCTCCCCAGCCCACTAGGGAGCCAGAATAGAGTTGTAGAACAGGTGCTGTTCCCAGTTGGAAAAGCCAGGGCTCCTCATCCCCAGCTATAACTCTAAAGTAGTACATCCATGAGATATAACCCCCAGCCAGCCAGGGCACTTAGCACCCAGTCATACTCCATACTCCCAGGCCTGGAGAAGGCATCCCTGAAAGTTCACAGCACTCTTCTCAGGGCTCCCTAGAAGCACAAAACAAAGGTGCTTAGGAGAGATGCTGCAGTAACAGACTTGAATCATGCACAGCCCATCTCTGCCCTCCCTATTTTGACCCTGTTGAGACTCGGATTCCTCCCATCTTTATTGTGCTTCTCCTGCAGCAACAGCTCCCAGTTTAGAAGGAGAGCTGGGAGAGACTTTGGGATTGGACCACTGCCATCTCCTCATGACTGTTCTGGGATGCCTCAGCGATCCCCTGGGCACCTTGGCTCTTCCCAGCACCCTGCAAAGCCCAGAGCACATGCATGAGGCAAGTCATAGGTCACTTCAGCAGACATCACTCAAGGGGCCAAGGACAAACCCCGAAGCAGACAGCAGCCCTGAGAGCTCCTCTCTTCCTGATCCAGCTGCACATCCATTCCAGCTCAGTGTAAACCCAGTGTCTGCAGAAGCAGCACACAGCAGAGGTGCAGCACAGCAGCAGGTATCTGCCCAGATCCACACCACTGGTTTGCAGCATGAGTGGGCCACACAGCACAGACCAGGCCAGCTGATGCCCATCCTGGACTGCAGCAGGGCCTTGGGGATAGAAACAATCCCATTCCACAGCTTTTAGGGACTGCCTGAGGCAATGCTGTTCAGCATGGCTCAGGCTCCTTAGACAGAATCATTACAGAAGTGTAGCAGGACAACAGGCCTCGGAGGTATATGGGAAATCCCAATCTCGTCTCCAAAATCTGGTCTGTGCTCCAGATGTGGCACAAAGTCCCACATTTACCCATCTCAGAGAGATGACCAGATCAGGACTACTCCCATGCTCTCACCCCAGTCTAGAGCCCCTGAGCTCCCTGCAAAATATCCTTCCCTACACAAGCACATCCAGGAGACTGCATGCAGGCAGTGTCCTTTGGCGACTGCAAAAGATGAGGGGTATCATCATGAGGATATAGCTACTGTCTCAGAAATACAGCAAGCCCCAATCCCAGCACCACAGCAGGGAGATTGGTTCTGGCACAGCAGGAGGAGTTCAGAGCTGCTGCTGGTGTAGCACAGAGGAATAACCAGCAGGCTGCTGACTGCAGGTGACAGCCTGGCTGCATTGTCTTCCCACTCCACTGCAGCACTGAACACAAGCAGGTTTTGTCCAAACAGAGATCTGGGAAGTTCACACAGGAAGGCCAGGGAGTCTTCTGGAGCATCCCACGCGGCTGGACCTGACAGTCCAGGCACTGAATCTCCTGCCACCTCCTCCAGTGAGGCACCTGTTACCCAGCCTTGTGCACCACCCACCCAGCACGGCCCAACCATAGGCTCCTTTCACCCTCAGAAGACTTTCTGGTCTATCTGAATTGAGCTGGTCTCTGCCCAAGCACCAACCAGGCTTCCAGGCCTGTAGAAGGCACAAGAGGACAGCCCCTGCCCCCAGCCCCAGGGCTTGCCGTAACAGGAACTCTTAGGCAGCCAGCAGTGGATTTAGTCAAGAATGTCAAGCAGAAGACAGGGCCATAGGGCTCCTCAGCCTTTCATCAAATGCTGGCTGCGGCCACAAAGCACCCCACACTAAGCATTAGCACTGGGATGCAGCTTTCAAAGTTGCATCAGACAGTGAGAATAGAGAAGTAGTGTTAAGAAGGCCTTTGCAGAGTAATTGCACCCCAAGGGCACGTTCCCTTGAGGCCAACCAGCAGTACTTCCAGGAAGAGTACAAAGGGACATGATGCCAGGGACAGGAGATTTATCTCATTATAAAATGCCCACAGGACTTGCCTTTTCATCCAGGAGAAGCCCAGGAGGCACAAGTCCTTACAAACACAAGCTGCACAAGGGAGAGATTGCTGGTGTTAGAAGGCTTCTTTGCCTATTGGGTAGGGCTGGCACAGCTTACACTAGCAACCAGAGGCACCCAGGGAAGACCTGCCAGATTGGGACAGCCAGGACTGGTTCTGGCTGATGTGATCGCAGCAGCATTCTCAGGGACTTGTAAGGGCTACAGCACAGAGACTCGAGCCACACTTTGGTCCACCATAGCTCCTCTGCCTGCAGGGGTCTCTGGGGCTGCTGATGTTTCTCAGGGCTCAGCAGCAATAAGCTTTTGCTTGGTGCAGCACATGTGGACAAGTGGACACTGAGGAATAGGGGGTACCCAGCAGCACCATGACCAGAGCTGTTGTGCTGTCACAGCATAAAAACAGGCAGCTGAATAACCCTGCAGCCCCAGACATGTTGGGCACATCTCAGGGCTGCACTCACCACCTTTGCAATTACAGCAGAGAGGTCTCCAGAGGTTCTGTCTGCTTAATGTCTAGAGGCTACTGCATATCAAGGATGTTGCGGCTTGAGCACAGACAGCTGGAGAGCTCCTATGAAAAGGCCAATGTAAGAACATTTTTGCAGCAAGCCTGGTACCCATGACACAGGTACAGCAGGGCTGTTCTAATTCCCAGCAACCAGCAGAACTGCACACAGGCCTGGGAAGCTGTGGCAGAGCCACAAATTCAGCATAGCATCCCAATCTTGCATCACAAACTTCCCTGCCTTCCACCTCCAAGCAGCTGTGGATCTGAGCACCAGCCTGCAAAGGAAAAGGCAGGGATGTGGGACACAGCTCTGAGGAACAGTGCCAGGGAGTGCAGGGACAAGACGGGGGGGACCCTTCCAGCAGAAAAGCTGACTGTCCAACTCTGCACCCACAGCCAGGCCACCCTGGGCAAAAGGCCACAAGTAACACAGGCAGGCAAGGGCCAGCGTCTGCAGGGACAACAGGCAGGGAGCAGAAATGGTCTGTCCTGCCAAATGTTTCCATTCCCCATGTCCTCCCTGCCCCCTTCCAAAACAGCACCAAAGCAAGAGACAGCTGCAGCTTATAAGGAATGTGAGGGGCCCTGCCAGGGACTCTGGCGAGGGAAACCAGGCCTTATAAGGCCATGGAGGCAGAATCAAATTTTTATCAATGAGTGTGAGAGCATGGAGACGCCTGGGGAGAGATAACAGTGCTGAAAGCTGGCCAGGGGGGTGGGCTGGGCCAGTGGGGAGCTATGCTGCAAGGGCCGGGACCAGGATACCTGCCACCCACTTCCCTCCGTCTTTCAATCACTGCTACTATCAGCCAAGGAGCCAGCCAGCTCCGAGATGACATGACACAAACTCAGTGCAGTCGCAGAGTGAAAGGGGACTCATCCTCAGCGCCCAATGCTGCTATTTAAAGAGGGCTGGGGATGATCAGGGCTCCCAGCACAGCCCACGCCTCCCTGGGTGCCCAGGAACATTACCTTGGTCTCCCCGCTGCTGTCCGACTCAGACACCTGGTAGGTGAGGTCTGTCTCCTCAAAACCAGTGGCACTCATACGCTGGTCAGTGGTGGGATCCGAGCGTGGGGGCGAGTCTGGGGAATTGAGGCATGTTTGGATCAACGCCTTCCCAGTCTCGCTGGTGATCATGGGCTGCAGCTTCCGTGTGGCAAACGTGTACACATGGCCCGTCTCGCTGGCCACCAACAGCAGGACTTGAGTGCCAGTCAGCGTGGAGAGCTCATAGGCCTGCCAGCAGGACAAGAGAAGAACAGGGAGTCACAGGTGACAGGGACAACACAGAGCAGGACAAGTGTCCCTGCATGTCCCCCACGTTCTCAGAATGGTTTTCCTTCTCTTCACACCAGCTTCAGCTCCCTTCCACTCCAGAGGAGCTGTGGCCTCTAAAACCAACCCAAGACTGGATCCCTACAGGTTGAACTGCCCCATGCTGTGTTCCCATCCCCTTTAAGGGATGTGCCCGCCAAGAGGCCATGGGTAGAGTAGTCCCCTTAGTACAGCAGTCTGAGAACATGGGGACAAGGGACTGTCTCCATTCTGGAAATCCCTCTGGCTTCTCCAGACATGTCTGGATGCTTCCCCTCACCTCACCTGTCAGTGATGTTACTTGGCACAAGTTTCTGCTACCTCACTCCCCTCACCAACACCACATCCAGGCTCCGACCCAGATTTCCCTCTCGGGCTCCAGACTTCTGAGCATAGCTGCACCCAAGCACCCCTGCAGCATGCCCCAGGTGAAGAATATCTGTAGACTAGGAAGTGCACTCTTCATATGCCATCACTGGACACTCAGTGGTCTCACACAAGCTTCTACAGACAGGATGGCCTAATTCTACACTCCGTGGTCCAATATATCCAGGATGTCCCCAGCAGTACCTCACACCCGTTCCCACCTTCCCGGGTGGATGATGCCCAGCTGAGCTGGGATGCAGCACTACCCAGTTGTTCAGAAGATGCTATGAGCACCACCAGGGATGCAGATCAGCCAGCAGCATCTGAAATCTCCCAGATTTCTATTCTGCCTTTGCACACCAGGAACCACGGATTGCATTCTGGACCGGCCGAGACGTGGCGTTGGTCCCTTCTGTGGCCGAAGCAGCCGGTCCTACCAGGCCCTTGGTGGGGCAGAGCAGTCCAGCTGTACCACCAAACACTCAGCGCTTTGGTGGCGGCTCACAGCGAGGGGCCCCGACGGCACCAGCCAGCTCCGGCCCGGGAGTGGACGCTGCACCGGGATGGGCTTCCCAGGGCACATCACACGCCTGGGGACCGCCAAGCACACCGGCATGCCCCGGCCCCAGGAGCTCCCGCTCTCGGCTCCCTGCCCGCAGTCCCGCCGGGAGCTCCCGCGCAGCCCCCCGGAAGGGGCTGATGCCGGGCCGCTCCCCCGATCCCGCCCGCGGGACGGGGAAGCTGCCGCCGTTTCCGGGCACGGCCCGCCGGCCTTGCCCCGCGCTCCAACTGGGCCGGGGCTCCCACGGGTGCCGACCGACGTCCCCGCCCGGGCCGGGTCGGGCCGCCCCCCCGCACCGGCCGAAGTCGCGGGGCCGCACCTTCTTCATGATGCCGGTCTTCCTCTTGCTGAAAGTGGTGTAGCGCCGCAGCTTGTTGTCGATGAACTCCATCTTGATCTTCACCCGGCCCCGCGTTTTCTTCCCGGGCTTGGCGCCGCTCACGGCCCCGCCGCCCCCGCCGCCGCTGTAGGCGGCCGCGGCCGCCGCTCCCGCCGCGGGCCCCGCCGCCGCTGCCGCCGCCTCGGCCAGGCCACGCTTCACGCCGCGCCGCTCGCCGCCCAGCTCCTCCTCCTCGGCCGACTCCGAGTCGCCCTCGCTGCCGCTGTACAGCGCCTCCCGCTTCAGGCGGCCCCCGGGCGCCCCCGCCACCGCCCCGCTGCCGTTCGCCCCACGCGGCACCGGCGACCGGCCCAGCCCCGAGCCGCAGGCCAGCGCGGCGGCGGTGCCGTTCCCGGCCCCGGCCTGGCTCGGCAACATCGCGGCAGCGAGCGCGGGTCGGGTCGGGTCGGGCCGGGTCAGGCCGGCCCCGCCATGTCCCCGCCGCGCTCCGCGCTCACGGCCCCGCTCCGCCACCGCCCCCGCCGCGCCGCGCCGCCCCCATATAAAGCGATACAATGTTGCCTTTTATGGCGAAGGCGCTCCTTATATGGGGCGAGACGGCGCCCCGTCGGGAGGTGCCACCCCATTGGCTGGTGGCCGCCGAGCGCCAGCGCCCATTGGCCGTCTGTTGGCGTTTGATTTGCATAGGGACGGACCGCGCTTGCGTCACGCACGGGTTGAAACACGCAGAGCGGTTCTTAAAGGGCCAGCGCGGCCGGCGGGGGGCGCTCTGCCCGGGGGTGCGGAGGGGCCGGGGGCTGAGGACGGGCGCTTAGACCCCCCTACTGCCCGCCCTGCCTCGGCCCTCTCCCCACCACCAGCTTCGGGCACGCTGGTCCTCATAGGGATCCCTCCGCACCACCCCGCCTGACTCTCAGCTATGCCACCAACTGTTGCTCCAGGCAACCTCGCACCCCGGCTGTTGTCACAGCCTGCAAGGGACAACGTGCCGTCCATTTGTGTCTGGTGGCTGCAGAGGCACCGAGAAGGCGTGAGGGAACGTGGGTGCTAGGGGTGAGCAGGGTACAGAGCCGAAGAGAATATGTCCAAAACACACATTGCTGAAGCACAGGCTAAACGGTGCCTGGTAGAATAAAGATCTTCCATTTAACAGGATGGGAGATCCTTCCACTGCTACCTTCGAACGCACAGGGTGAGAGGCTGTGGTTCTCGCGCCACCGCCATCCAGGGATGAGACAGAGCACCTGTACAGATGGGAAGATGCTGGTCAGACCCTGGCTCATGCCCACCCTGGCTCTGCACATCAGGCGGCTCCAAGCACTTGGCACAGGTCACATCCTCCGTGCAGGTATGACCCAGGACCTCCACAGCACAGGGACAGCCCGCACAGAACACAGAACTGTATGCAAGGGCACGGTGCTCATGGGACAGCAAAAGTGCAAGAGGGACAGCACAGCCCCAGAGCGTGAAGACAGACAGAATTCTTAGTTGAGAAAAGCGGGTCTCACACACCCTGTCTTACAAACAGGAACTGCAGCCCAGGGCAAGACCTCACCTCTGGCAGCAGTGGTCCTGCCACAGACCCATTTTGTCTCCTGGGCACCCCATGGAGGGTTCTGCAGCTTGCACAAGCCCTTTCCGTATCCACCTCATCATTCAGAGGATACACACGCTCACCAACAGCCCTCACAGCTGTCCCCCACAGCCCAGGGCCAACCTCCGACAGAGCAAGGGAATAACTGCAAACCCGAGCACCCCCCTCACTGCCACCACCACCTCCCCCTCCTCCCGCCAGCCATACTCCTCCACTGAGCACACATGCCATTTATAGCTCCCAGCAGGGCTGCTGGAACTCACATGCCTCCCATCACATGCCCTGGCCACCCTCCCTTCAAGCTGAGCATAAGCTACACACCTGGCACAGGTGAGACCGAGGCCTCACTGTGTCCTGCCAGGCTGAGAAAGGGTCAGCAGGACCCTCTGCGTGGCTGCAGGCACCAGTTAGGCTGGGAACAATGAACACATGCATCTGATAGCCAAAGCCAGGGCGGTCTGCCTGTTTAGCACAAGTATGCAGTCACTGCAGGTAGCAAGATTTGTTTTTATCTTGCTCATGGCACAGCTACACACACTCCTTTCCTCCTTCTCTTTTACGTGCCTTTCAACTGCAAGGCCTTTTGCAGTTGTGTCTACACAGGCAAGAGGTGAGACCTCGCTTGTTCTGGGCTGGCTCATCCCTTCTTCTGCCCTTCTTCCCAAGCCTCATCCTGTGGATGCTTTCCAAGATGTCTGTCCTGCGTGTGCTCTGAACAGCCTCAGAGCTTCAGCCTGCCCCAGCTTCCTGCGAATGCCAATCTCTCACCGAGGCAGTCAGACCCATACTGGAGAGCCAAGCCCTGTCCCCAAGCCACCATCACCCACGAGACCCAAGTTAACAGCAGGTCCTCCTTAACCAAACCAGCAGCCAGTGACAACCAAAAGCAAGTTTTCAGCCTTCAGGGATTTTCTCATCTACAACCCGCTAAAATTCCCACTTCTGGCCCTGTTCTTACAAAGCTGTAGGGCATAGCACTTGACATTACTTTAAAAGCCTCTTACCTGATTTCCCCCAAAAGTTCCTTCCAGACAAGCTGCCTGACAGCTCCACTGGAGCACTGACCCTGCTGCTAGCATGACCCCAGCCCTCCACATCCCCTTTTCAATCCTCCTCTAGTCCATTGCAACATGTGCTTCTTAATCCATATTGCAGATGAGTGCTAGGGTCGTGATGGTTTCCATCCTGTTCCTGATCTTCCTATTATTGATACTCCAGCTGCTTTTTCTGACTGCTGCTGAACACAGCTGCTCTTTTTTTAACAGCCACATCCCTTCTATGAGCAGGAACAACTAGAACAGAGATACTGTTGCACATACAAAACTAGGTTATGGCCCTTTATGATGTGCTTGTTTTTGGTCAACAGACAGGTGCAGGAACAGGGCTGCTCCCTGAGAGGTGAACCCCATGTCCTCATGAATAGGCATAAACCCACAGTACCTGAGCAGAGCCGCAATAGGTGTTGGTATAAGGGACCATCCACAGAACAAGCCATGGACTAAATCTAGCATCTATTTGGCTCAGAGAGCCAAAATCCTGATTGGATAATAAAGCTATCATATATACCTAGAAGGCAAGGCTAGAAACAAGGCTGAAACAGGAATACCTACAAGCTTGCTTAAAACAAACCTGAAAGCACAGGCTTGAGCTTAAATGCAGCTCGAGAGTGTGGGGAAGTCCCACGTGAAGCTGCTTAGCACAATCAAGGCCCATTAGTTCTCACAGAAGTGCCTGACACAGCTGCAGAAAGAGCCACAGGGCAGCAGAGGAAATTAGAGCAAACCAAAAGCCCTGGCTCAAGCTGCACAGCAGATCTGTGCACTCATGGACCAGGGATGCTCAAAGGCTGCAGCGGTGCAGGGGGAATTAGGGTAACTTTAGGGCAAGAGAAAACATCAGGGACTCCTGGAAATACCTGGTTTGGAGGTCTTTATGCTTTAGGTTGTTGTTAGCTGGGACTAACACACATCTGCTTGCTGTTCTCTTACGCCATTCAGTAAATGCCTAACCATGGCCACAGCTGGTGGCTCTCTTGGTGGACCTGTGCTCTGATGGAGCCATAAGGTTCTTTCTGGCCATAGATACCACACATGGTCTTCTGTAAGGTGCTCCTTCAGTTTGGGCTGAGGCAATTGCATCCCAGCTCTGTCAACTGCCCACATGCTCTCATTCTCCTGCAGGGGCTCTGATTCCCTACTCTGCTCCACCACATTTAGCTGGGACTGTATTTGCTCAGTTTGCTGTTTCCAATTATTTTGACCAACATCTGTCCCCCCCCCCCAGTGATACAGAACTTTTTCATTACATCACTCCCAAAAAAACACAATCCCAACCCCCATCATTCTGTACTCTTTAGGTCTGGAGTTTGTCCTAGCTTTGGTAACTTTCCATTTGGGTGCTTCCCTGTAGTCACCAGGTCTTGACTGCATGGCAAAGAGGTAGTGGAGCCTCTATGATGTGTTGAGATCTCCGACTACATGAGATGCCTTCATGCATAGAGCTGGCAAAACAAGGGTGGTACCCCCAAAATCCTTGGCATCTCTGGTCTTCAGCCATAGCAGTGCTGAGATTCTGCTTGGCTAGGGCACCACATGTCACTTGGCTGCAGGAATCAGCCCACAGAGTGCAGCATTCCTGCCTGGAAGGAAAGACAGCAGACAGGAAAGTCCATAGGAATGGAACGGATGTGAGAAGTGGAACAAAAGGACATCAAACAACAGCCAAATGCACGAGACAGGTCACTTGCAAGTTGGAGAGCACATGAGCAGCAGTGCCACAACACTCACACACTTCAGAAGGGTTGCACACACAGAGGGAGGGCAACAAGAGGGACAGGAGGCTGCAGCAGGCAGAAGGCACATCCAGATCCCTCTGCCCCTAACAGGTCTGGCCATGCACAGTCCCAGCAGGCTCTCTGGTCATGGAGGCAGCCAGGGGTCAAGGTGGCAGTTACCTGCTGCCAAGCCTACTATGCCAAGAAACACCAGCTCCCACCCGCAAGTGTTGGAAAAGGGACAAACACCTTTGATAACTGGCAGAGCAACTGCCAGCAAACTTGCTAGCACCCAGCTTCCAACCCTGGACCAAATCAGAGCTCAGAGTCAGCTAGCATATTCCAAGAAATGAGCACTTTTCCCGCTCCAGCATTTCCATAACCACTTTGGGAAGTGGATCTTGGACATGTCTAATCTATCCCCGATTAAAGCAGAGCCAACTACACTGGGTAGTTCAGGACTTCTTTGGTCCAGGATTGGGTATCTCTGATGATGATGATGCCACAGCTTGTCTGGGACTCAGATCTTTATTACCCTTGAGAGGAAGCATTTCCCCCAATACCCAGTATGAATGTCCCTTGTGCTTATGCCCACTGCCTCCAGTTCAGTCCCATCAGGCCTTCTGTAAAAGCTCAGATCTGCCTATATAACCCCCCAACACAGGGCTGTGCTGCCAAGTGAAACTGCTGGTCCCAGTGCCTCACTCTGGCTCCAAAGGACAAGCCCATAAGCCCACTTGGCTCCTGTTCATTCTGTAGGGATTCGGGTTTCTTGTACACCATGTGAACACCTTTCCTCTCCCAAGAAGTGACTGCCAGGACCCTGCCATTGTTCTGGGTCATTATCACAGAGAGGGCTGCAGACCACATGTGACAGTAGGTTATCTCCCAGTGTCCCCATCCAGGTCTGGCCCTACTAGCATCCTGCAAGCAGCAGCTGAAATCTCTAGAACAAAACCACAACCCAGTGTGGACTGCAAAGCTGCCCCAGGACACAGAGTACCTGTACACAAATCCAATCAATACCTGACTTGGAAGCACCTAATTAAC